ATTCACTTTATGACTGTATCATACTATATTTAGTTATTCTCTTACTGTGAACAACCTAAAATGTATACTTTCTTTTGCTATTAAAAACAGAGATGATATGTACATACATCATGTATATATCTTTATATCCTCATGTATATATCCTTATATCCTTACCAGACTCTTTCCTTGAGATAAAGTTCTAAAAGAGGAAGTGCTGGAACAAAGCAAATGTAGATGCTTCCAATTTTAATATACAATTACAAACTGACTTACATAATGATCAATTATATCTGAACTAACAATTGATGGGAATCCCTGTTTCACTGTAACTTTCCCAACAATGGATATTATCAATGTTTTAAGTCACGACGGTTTATACTTAGATGCTTTTGATTAGCAGTAAGGTGAAACAACACTGTGCATGTATATACAATATTTCTTCTGTGAACTGCTTGCTCATGTTTATCCATGTTCCCATCCCATTAAGTGTTCCTTTTCCTCTCATCTGTTGTACACACATATGGACAGAGATTATATATGAATATATATATTCAACTTCATTTTATAAGCATAGTGTAATCCTAATAACAAAACCTACAGAGATTTTACAAAAGAAAAAATCACAGATCAGCATTCATCATAAACATGAATATAAACTCCTTGACAAAATATTAGCAACTGGGCTTTCCTGGTGTAGTAAGTAGTAAAGACTCTGCCTGAAAATGCAGGGGACATGGATTCAATCCCTGGTCTGGAAAGATACCACATGCCATGGAGCAACTAAGTCCATTCGTCACAACTACTGAGCCTGTACTCAAGAGCCCACAAGCCACAACTACTGAGCCCACGCACCCTGGAGCCTGTGCTCCACAATAAGAGGAACTACTGCAATGAGAAGCCCACACACAGCAACTAGAGAGTAGCCTCCACTTGCCATAACTGGAGAAAGCCCACATGCAGCAACAAAGACCCAGCACAGCCATAAATAAAATAAATAAATAAATCTCAAAAAAAAAAAAAATTAGCAACCTCAACCCAACATGAATAAATAGGATCAATTCAGTTCAGTCACTCAGTCATATACAACTCTTTGCAACACCATGGGCTGCAGCACGCCAGGCTTCCCTGTCCATCACCAACTCCCAGAGCTTGCTCAAACTCATGTCCACAAACTCGGTGATGTCATCCAATGATCTCAACCTCTGTCGCCCCCTTCTCCTCCTGCCCTCAGTCTTTCCCACTTTCGGGGTCTTTTCCAATGAGTCAGCTCTTCACATAAGGAGGCCAAAGTATTGGAGCTTTACTTCAGCATCAGTCCTCCCAACGAATATTCTGGACTGATTTGTTTTAGGATTGCCTGGCTTGATCTCCTTGCAGTCCAAGGGACTCTCAAGAGTCTTCTCCAACACCAGAGTTCAAAAGCATCAATTTTCCGGTGCTCAGCTTTCTTTATGGTCCAACTCTCACATCCATCCATGACTACTGGAAAAACCATAACTGACTAGACGGACATTTGTCAGTCAAGTAATGCCTCTGCTTTTTAATATGCTATCTGGGTTTGTCATAGCTTTTCTTCCAAGGAACAACTGTTTTTTAATTTCATGGCTGCAGTCACCATTTGCAATGATTTTGGAGCCAAAGAAAATAAAGTCTGCCACTGTTTCTGTTGTTTCCCCATCTATTTGCCATGAAGTGATGGGACCAGATGCCATGATCTTAGTTTTTTGAATGCTGAGTTTTAAGCCAGATTTTTCACTCTCCTCTTTCACTTTTATCGAGGCTCTTTAGTTCTTTTTCACTTTCTGCCATAAATAGGATACTATATCATGATTAGGTACAGTTGATCCGAGGAATACAAGGTTAGTTAACATCAAAAATCAATGCAGTTGATCATTAATAGAGTAAAAAAAGAATTAAAAAAGCAATCATTTCAATAAATACAGAAAGTACATTTGACAAAATTCAATATCCATTCATGATCAAAGAAAAGGGAAAAAAAAACAACTTTCAGGAAACTAGGAATAAAAAGAATTTCCTCAGTCTGATAAGAGTATCTATAAAAAGCCTGCAGAGCTAACATCACACTTAAAAGGCACAATACTGAATGTATTCCTCTAATACTGGATACTAGGATTGGGAACAATCTGCCACTATTATTCAATTTGTGCTGTAAAACCTACCTAGCCTAATAAGGCAAAAGAGAAAAAAGGAAAACAGATTGGAAAGAAAGAGATAAAATTATATTAATCTGCAAATGGAATGACTGCCTACCTAGAAAAGAATTCTGGATTCTAAAAAATACACTATTTAGAATACATAAATAAATTTAGCAAGGGCACAAGAAACATAGTCCATGAATAAAGGTCAGTTGTATTTTTTTAATATACCAGCAGCAGGCCATTAGAAAATGAAATTTTCTAAAATTCCATTCATAATGGGGTCAAAAAAGCAAATTTAACCAAAGATATCTCAGACTACTACACTGGAAACTATAAAACAAGATAAGAGAAATTATAGATAGATATAAATGAAAAATGACACTTTGCTTATGAAAGACTCAATTTTTGTGAGTGTATCTTTTCTGCAAACTGATAAACTCATTCATGTTAATGGCTTGCACTGGCTGTCCTCTGTATCTACGGAACTGTGCATCCAGAATTTTACATGCCTTTTCCCCGTTATTCTGACCTTAGGTCAAGTATCTCTTCTCCAGGCTCACCCTGATTTTTGCTAAACGAAGCAGTTTTCTTTCCCCTCTATTACACTACCCTCTCTTATTTATTCATTGCACTATGTGAAATTATCTTTTATCATTCACATACTTACTGTCTTTCTTCTCAGCTCAAAGGTGAGCATGAAGACAATATCTTTTGACCAACATATTCCCCAGTATCTACATGAGCTCCTGGTATGGAGCAGGCACTTGGTAAATATATGTGGACTACTTATTGCCATATTCAGGGTTGTCTTCAAATGCTAACACAATTTTAAGATCAATATAAACAGTGACATAATTTATACTTTCTTCCAAAGTCTTAATAGAGATATTCAAATAATCAAAGGAATTTAAGAAATGGACACTATTATTAAGGTTAAAACATTGTGGCTTACTGTCTAATAGATAATAAAATGAAAGAGAAAAGAGAAGGACACTACCCACTCTTCTTACCCCCATCCAGATTAGTGTGTGTGTGTGTGTATGTGTGTGTGTGTGTGTGAAAGTCACTCAGTTATATTCAACTCTTTGCCACCCCATGGACTACACAGTCCATGGAATTCTCCAGGCCAGAATACTGGAGAAGGTAGCCATTCCCTTCTCCAGGGGATCTTCCCAACCCAGGGTCTTCCCAAACCCAGGTCTCCCGCATTGCAAAGAACTGGATTCTTTACCAGCTGAACTACCAGGGAAGCCCTTAAAATTTATACAGTTAATCATTTATACACTGTGAAACCATCTTCAAAGATGTAAATTACTGTTCATTTCATCCTGGCTATTGCTATTCTTTTTCAGTATGGGTAATAATGCATTTATTTCCAATTTTAGAAAGAATGGTTTTTCCCTTTACGTTCCCACAGTTCATCCAACAGTAATACTAGCATTATCATATAAGTATTTCTCAAATTCTCATCTGCCTAAAGGGCCTGCTAGTGGGCAGCGAAACTCACTGTGCTTCCCAATTTAAAATATTCCTTTTCTTTCCTCCCCTTCCCTTACTGCTACAAACTCTACCCATGTCTAGGACTCTCCTCCCACCCTGCACCACCCCAGATAGCTCAGCTTTTTACTAGTGTATCTTTTTTTTACCCTAGAAACTTCCCTTACTAACCCCAGATGCACCCTCTGATGGAATGGCCTGAAGAGTCAGCAGTGAATTTTGATTTCTCTCTGGGACAAAGGTAAATCTGTCATGTTTTCCGTTAAAATGATTGACAACTATCACTTAGGAAGCCTTTATCTTCTATTTATCCCTCACTGAATATAAACGTTACAATGTCTAGAAAACTTAAAAAGGGATGTGCATCTTAAGTCTGAGAACCCAGAAGAAGTGACAGTGAAAAGGATTGTTGAGTATATTTACCATTTCAATCAGCACACACACAAAAGAAAACATGAAATGTCAAAAGGACAAAACCAGGAAGCCGGGGCATTCATACTGGCAATAAGCCATAACTCCTCAACAAAGATCCTGGTTTCTCACCACTGACCCCTATGCTCTAAGGTCTAAAACTCAAGCACCACTCTTAGAGCTCAGAGTGTGCCTTCACCTAACAGGCAAGCAGGTGCAACTAGGGATAGAAAAGAGCTCTATCTAAGCTACCTGGGAATTTGAACTTTTATTCCCACAGGCACAGCATCACATGTGGTGATTAGGTCTAAAGGACCACAGGCCACTGTTAGTTCTGGCCTAGGATTAGAACAAAAACAATAATTAAAATGGCTATTATTTATTGAGTACTTATCATATGTCAGATGCTATGCTAAAGTACTTAAATATCTCATTTAATCCCCATTTGATAGGTTCTTACTGTTATTTCTATTTTTTTCAGAGGTGGAAGCTTAGTTACAGAGCAGTTAGGTAATTTTCCATGAATAGAAAGTGGTGAAATTAGAATTCTAACAGTATTCTCATTGATAGCAAACCTGTAATTATATAGTATTTATAAGATGATGAATCAATGAACTTTTAGAAATAATTTCACACATTCATATATTTATTGCTGTTCAGTCGCTAAGTCATGTCTGACTCTTTGTGACCCCATGGACTGCAGCACACCAGGCTTCCCTGTCCTTCATTACCTCCCGGAGTTTGTTCAAATTCATGCCCACTGAGTCAGTGATGCCATCCAACCATCTCTTCCTCAGTTCATATACTGGATCTGCCTATATCTGACTGGTATATCAGGATACTATTAGGTTCTTCAGCTAAATTGTAGATTTTATGTGCTCTAATAAAATATCACAAATATAGCTATTTTAAAAAGAAAGCAAAATTTACCAACAACCACTTAGCACATACCTACTGTGATGTTACCCATCTTGCTTCGTAATGTTATATTACCTGCAAAAGAGAGAAAAAGGCAACTTTACACATTAGGGATAATCTAGAAAGGAAAGATATTAATAATGTTCTACAACACGGTTAGATATCCACAAGGTTATTTAATAATATTATTATTGTCATTCACAATTTTTCTCAGTATCACAACCCCAGTCAGAGATTTAGGCGCAACTACAAATTAAATAGATTTAGGCATCTATACAAACTCTCTTCTTCCACTCTAACTTAATCTACTACAGCACAACTGAAAAAACAAACCCCTGTACTTTCTGGAAAACATGGAAGAAAAATAATGATTCTTCTAAAAGTTAAAAAATGTAAAAAATAAATAAATAAATAAAAGACTTAAATGTACTGACTAGGCATATTCAACCTAGACATTACAGTATTTATCAGACCACACAAAGCCAAGTTTTGAACCAAATAACACTAAAATAATCCATGGAAAAAAGTAATTACTGTTGTTTTTTAGGCCAGTTTGGCAAACCTATCTGTGAGATTTCAGTGGTTTTTCTGCCAAGAGTTTAAAAGGTGTGGGACAGGAGTAATAAATAACTGAAATATGACTAACAAAAAAAAACTTCAAATATTCCCTTCTTTCAATGAAAATCTATTTTCCAGGATAAACATAGGACACTGAAACCATTCTTCCCAGTGCCTTCCTCCAGCATCAAAAACAGCTGGATTTTTCTTTATGTGTGTTTAAGGGATAATTACTCCTAGAGTTATACCACCTATATTTACTGCACTATCATAATTCTAAAACTATAGTGAAGGGTAAAAAAGGAGTAAAAAAAAGAAAATGGTAAGAAACAAGTAGAGTAAAAGAAGCTATTTAAAATTCCAAAAGATGATGCTATTAAAGTACTGCACTCAATATGTCAGCAAATTTGGAAAACTCAGCAATGGCCACAGAACTGGAACAGGTCAGTTTTCATTCCAGTCTCAAAGAAGGGCAATGCCAAAGAATGTTCAAACTACTATACAACTGCACTCACTTCTCATGGTAGCAAGGTAATCCTCAAAATTCTCCAAGTCAGGCTTCAGCAGTACATGAAACTAGAACTTTCAGATGTACATGCTGGGTTTAGAAAGGGCAGAGGAACCAGAGATCAAATTGTCATAGAAAAAGCAAGAAAATTTCAGAAAAACATCTACTCCTGCTTCATTGACTACACTAAAGTCTTTGACTGTATGGATCACAACAAACTGTGGAAAATTCTTAAAGAAATGAAATATCAGACCATCTCACCTGCTTCCTAGGAAACCTGTGAAGCAGGTCAAGAAGCAACAGTTAGAGCTGGACATGGAACAACAGACTGGTTCCAAACTGGGAAAGGAGTATGCCAAGGCTATATATTCTCACCCTGCTTATTTAATTTATATGCAGAGTACATCATGCGGTATACTGAGCTGGAGGAAGCACAAGCTGGAATCATGATTGCCAGGAGAAATATCAACCTCAGATATGTAGCTGATACCACTCTAATGGCAGAAAGCAAAGAGGAACTAAAGGGCCTCTTAATGAGGGTGAAAGAAGAGAGTGAAAAAAGATGGCTTAAAACTGAACATTCAAAAAACTAAGAACACGGCATCCAGTCCCATCATTTCATGGCAAATAGATGGGGGAAAAGTGGAAAACAGTGACAGATTTTCTTTCCTTGGGCTCCAAAATCACTGTGGACAGTGACTGCAACCCTGAAATTAAAAGACGCCTGCTCCTTGGAAGAAAAGCTATGACAAACCTAGACAATGTATTCAAAAGCAGAGACATCTCTTTGCCGACAAAGGTCTGTCTAGACAAAGCTATGGTGTTTCCAGTAGGTATGTATGAATGTGTGAGTTGGACCATAAAGAAAGCTGAGTGCTGAAGAATTGATGCTTTCGAACTATGGTGCTGGAGAAAACTCTTGAGAGAGTCCCTTGGACTGCAAGGAGATCAAACCAGTCCATCCTATGGGCAATCAACCCTGAATACTCATTGGAAGGACTGATGCTGAAGCTGAAGCTCCAATATGGTGGCCACCTGATGCGAAGAGCTTACTCATTGTAAAAGACCCTGAAACTGGGAAAGACTGAGGGCAGGAGGAGAAGGGGGTGACAGAGGATGAGATCATTGGATGGCATCACTGACTTGGTGGACATGAGTTTGAGCATGCTTTGAGAGATAGTGAAGGATAGGGAGCCTGGCAACCTACAGTCCATGAAATCACAAAGAGTCAGACACAACTTATCAACTGAACAAAAACAGCAAAAGAAGTAAAGAGCAGAGGAATAAATTTTGTCTCAGAATTAATCTAGGATGACTAAAATCATTTATTTCATTTCATGTATCTTGTAAATACTGACATATATCAATACCTGGGAAAAAGAAAAACAAAGAAAGGAGGCACTTGATTTATTTGTCCAACAGTTAAATGTGTTTTGACTGTAAAAATTTCTCTAAAAGTTTTATATTTCATCATACTTCACGTGAGCATATGAACAAGAGGTACACTTGTGTAGGAGTAAAACTTGGTTTGTATACTTTGGCCACCTCATGTGAAGAGTGGACTCATTGTAAAAGACCCTGATATTGGGACGGATTGGGGGCAGGAGGAGAAGGGGACGACAGAGGATGAGATGGTTGGATGGCATTACCGACTCGATGGACATGGGTTTAAGTAAACTCCGGGAGTTGGTGATGGACAGGGAGGCCTGGAGTGCTGCAATTCATGGGTCACAAAGAGTCGGACACGACTGATGGACTGAACTGAACTGAACTGAAGCTTATAAAATTATTTTCAAGTTTCAGTAATTTACAAGGCTGTGAGATCCTCCTGTTATATGATTAAGTAAATATTATTTCACTGGTGTGTTCTAGATACTCTTCCAATTTTCAAATCCAGTAAATGCAGATTCACATGCAAATAGTGGCCAAGGATCATAAAGCTGCTAAGATAGCTTCCAGTGATCCCTGCCTCCTGGTATTTATGCCCATGGAGCTCCTTCACTCATATGGAAGCTGGACCTACTGATGCTTTTAACAAAGAGAATAAGGGCAAAGGCAATGAGATGTTACTTTCAAGACTACGTTACAAATGATTCTTGCATCTGTTTTGCCAGCTCTCTTTTGCTGTGATGGAAGCCAGCTAGCCATGTTGTCTAACTTCCTTATGAAAGAGGCCCAAGACCAAGGACCTAGAGAGGCCCCCAGCTAATAGAATCTGAACTGAATCCTGCTAACAACAACATGAGTGAACTAGAAAGCAGATTCACTTTTGGCTGAACCTTCAAATAAACCCATGGCCCCATCTGATACCTTGATTACAACCTCAAGAGAGATCTTGAGGCGGAAGACCCAGTTAAGTGATACCCAGATTCCGGACCACCCAAAGTATAAGAAAATATGTATTTGCTGTTTTCAGCTGCTAAATATGTTACAAAGGAAGAGGTAACTAGAAAAGATGTTGAAAGCTGGACATGGGGTGATGCCACAATAAATCACTAAAAATATGGGAATAGCTTTGGAAATTGGCAGTAGACATAGGTTGGAAGGATTTTTAGGAGCATGGTAGAAAAAGCCTAAATTGCCTGAACAGTGTGTTAGTAGAAAGCTGGACTTTGAGTGCTTCTCATATAAGGGCTTAAATGGAAGTGAAAAAAGTGTTTTGGAAACTGGAGGAAGGCAGATCTTCGTTAAGCAGTATTAGAAACTTCACAACACTATCACATTCAGTAATGTGGAAAGTAGGAAATGTGCCTAATGAACTGAATGATCTAGCTAAGGAGATGGCCAAGCAGTTAAAGTGTTGTAGGCGCTGCCTGTTTTTTCTTGTAGCATCTGTAAAATGCAAACAAAGTAAGATAAACTAAAGAAACGATTGTTTAAAAAAAGAATCAGGACAAGAATCATTTTGAAAATTCTCAGCTTCTCAAGATGGCAAAATGAGAAAGTTAAGAATAGCTTCAACACAAAGTTTGGATTCAGTGTACTGCCAGAAAATGGCCTAAAAATGAAACTGATGGATTGACTGTAAAATCTTTTGTCAAGACTCCAGAAAGATTAGAGTGATACCTCACAGTATTAATTTACCTGTACAAAAAGTCCATTAAACCGGCTGAGGGTATCTCACAGATCTTCTCAATCAAGCAATAGGTCCCCTAGAAAGCTTGCGAGCACCATATCTTAATTTCTCTGCAGAAGTCCACATTTTGAAAAGATTCTTGGATGTGGCCCTCATCTAATAGAATAAACACCAATGTGAATTCATAGAAGGCTGACAAAATTTGTGAGAATTATATCAGCAAACACATTGCTAACTTCGACCAAAAGGGACAGTAACAGTACAAAGTGAAATGAGACCACTGGAGTACCAAAATTCTGCTGGCAGGAAGCAGATTAAGAAAATTCCTCAGCTGCAAACACATGCTACATTTCATGAAAAAGGAAGGATGACTCAAATGGAGAAAACAAGAGCTCAGAGGGCAAAGCCTGGAAACCTAAAGAATTATCACAAGGCCATGATTTTAATCAAAGAACCTCCAATGTTTTCCTACCTAAATTTCAAAATCATTATGGACCAATGACTCCTTTGTGCCCCTTTTCTCCCCTTTGAACAGGAAAGTCTATAGCAATCATCCTATGTGTATCCCAGCACTGTATGCTTAGTGGTGTGTATGGGTTGAGGAGGTTAGAGAACAGGTCTTAAGATTGAGAACTATACTTGAGGAGTTAGACCTAAGCAACTATACCCGAGGAGGCTCATCTACATCTGGATCTGATTTTGGTGTAGACATTCTGGACTCTGAGCAGATATGCAATAGGATGAGACTCTGGGAACCTTGAAAGGAAGGGAGTGTATTTTGTATGTGGGAAGGACACAAATCACTTGCAGGGGGTACAGTGAGATACATACATGAAAAGTTAAAAATGAGTGTTTATTAATAATTTTAAGTTCATGTTGTAACTGAATAGTATGTATTAGGTTCCATAACCATTCTGAGGAAGCAGACTAAAA